ACTAATTCAATATAGAAGTGCCTTTATTAAAAATGCACACCTGTGTTTCTTAGAAAATTCTGTATTGAATACACACGCATTTACTGTTTTACAGACCCGGGAGAATCCTTGTGAGAAATTTCAAGTGTTATGACAAGGTGGGAAAGACGTTGTTCAAATGTTCAGACAATTTGTGAAAACTGAGAACGCTGCTTCGAGGCATCACACTGTAAAAGTGTTTAAAAAATCCTGCACATATATAGGGTTCTCAGAACTTTGGTTCCAAAGAACTGCTGCTTCAGAATGCCGTAGTGGAGAACAGGTTGAAACAATATTTGCGGGATGAGAGGAGGCGCTTGCTCTGTACTTTGCAGGGCCCACTCGCGATTGAAGTTGAAATGGAGGCACTGGTATGCGCTTTTTTTATAGCATTGTCAGGGCTGCCCAAAAGGCCCATTTATTGTGACTACCCGTACAACCAATGAACGCTTGCAACCAATTCATCTGCACTATCTGTGAGTGTTCTCTTCCCACTATTTTAACTATGCGATACTTTACAGTAAAAATGCACACCTATTTTCATATTGATACGAAGTGTTACTACTAAGAAAAAACAAGAGAAGTGCAGGTAGAAAAGGAAGACGACGTTGCTTTTACTGCGATTGAGTCAGCGATCAGCTCTCAAATTTTACTAGCCACACTACCACTTATTATTTAGCTGATACACTGCAATGATTCAACTTTCAGGAGAATTTTATATAACGATTCCATCTCAGATACTCAACAAATTCTATTATTTCTCTTCCTCTTTTTTTCTTTTTTTACATTGCGCCAAAATGATTTCACAGTCAAAACACAGTAATCACATTGCCCTAGTCTAGAAAATCTATAGGTATTGACTTGCATTAACCACCGGCTTCTTGGCCAATTGCCCTTAGTGGGTGAGAGCCACAAAAGAAAGGAACAAGCAAGCACGCAAGCGATTCTCCTGAGTGGGTACGAGCCATGGCGTTGGAATGGTGATCATCATCATACTGGAATCGCGGACTCGGTGCGCACTAAAACCCCACCCCTTAAGTTACCTTACCATACGTAACAATTTGGTGGAAGGTGCTGGGTAGGACGAACCGACGAACCCAAAGACGGGAGCTTCTCTAACAGGACTTCGTCGCAGCCACCGCCTCGCCCGACTTCCACCTTCGCCGATCGTAATGGCCCAAGAGCAGCCATCCAACGCTTCGAGGCCAACTTCGGTGGGTTCCGTGCCGTACTACAGAGTGCCACCAAACTTCGGCGGGACCTCAGGAGAAGACGTTGACATGTGGCTCAAGAACTATAAGCGGGTGAGCAGAAGCAATGGCTGGGACTCGAACGAACAGCTCAATCATGTTGTGTTCTCGTTTACAGACACCACCCTTATGTGGTACGAGAACCACGAGGACATGTTCACGACTTGGGATTGTTTTGTTGAAGAAGTGCAGAAGTGCTTCGTTGATTCGATGCAAAGAAGAAACGCGCAGAGCAGACATTATCTCAGAGGGCACAGCTTCCAGGAGAAACATGTACGACGTACATTGACGAAATCTTGAAGCTGTGCAACATCATGAATGCAAGGATGTCTGAAGAACACAAGGTTGGACACGTTCTCAAAGGTATAGCCGAAGACGTGTACAATTTCTTAATTGGGAAAGACTGCTTGAACTCCGTGTCCGACGTGATGAAGCACTGTCGTACCTTTGAATCCCTCAAGATGCGACTGAATTTCTGCTAAATTCGGCCGCCTGTCTAACGTCCCCACTGTTGCTAGTGTTGAAACAGTGCCACCTAATGACCTTGCTTTGATCATGCGACAGATCGTCAGAGAAGAGCTGCTTCGATGAAAGCAGACCTATCATCACCCCAGCGATTTTCAGGATGCGTACGCAAACGAACCAGAACGTGTGCGGACTCCTGTTTCTTTTCCACCATGGCAACCATCGATCAACGCAGCAGACACTTATGAATGTCAAGGCACACGGCAGGCTGGATTCCCACGTCAACCACCTCCAAACTACGAAGTTCCCCCCTCCCCCCTGTTTACCCAACATCGCCTGCCTACAGTGCTTCTGAAGGGCGGCACCACTATCCCATGCCTTCCGAGACGAGTCGTTACTCTGAGCAGCCACGTGCCCCTCGACCAATTCAAGTGTGCTACAACTATGGCGTCCCTGGTCACATCACACGTTTTTATGACCACCACCCATATCAGCGACAGTCTTGGTACATGTCTCATTAACCTTCCGACCATGCGCTCTCCACGTCGCGGAAACCACGCGCACCTACCGGGTCACGCTACCCCTCGCCGGCCTCTGATCAAAGTTTCACGCCACCACCAGCTCCACGTGCTCCACGATCGCCACGGTGACGCACACGGACACCGCCGCCGGAAAACTAATCGTTGTGGCCAGTGGGGGTGAGGCCGCGAGATCACATGTGTTATCTACAGATATACCCCCGTCAGCATTTAAGTTGAAGAACGAAGTTCATTTATTTGTCGATGGATTGGCTACTATGGCACTTGTGGATACAAGCGTGACAGTCTCGGTGATGAGTGAAAATTTTGAGAACCTGCTAGAACCAAAAGTGATGTTTTGCCTGAACCGTGCGGTGACATTTCGTGGTGTCAGTGGTGACAAGTTGTGTCCGGTGGGATGTTGTACTGTGGACGTCTCGCTGTGTGGCAAGGTGTTTTGCACAGAGTTTGTGGTTATTCCGCGGTCTACACAAGACGTTATCTTGGGTATCGACTTCGTGCGTGAGTGTGGGCCAACTGTAGATTGCAGTAGTGGGCACCTTTCTACACAGGGAACTTTCCAACGGCGCTCTTGGAAAATTCCTGTCCGGAGGAATGCATCTTTTTCGTCTCCGTGGATACAGTCGTTCTTCCATTTTTAGCTGTGTGTGTTCCCGTGACATGTTCCAGCAACAACTGTAGCACGTTTGACGCCATGCTCGAACCGATTCCCTTGGCATCTCTGAAAAAAGAACATCCTCATTCCCCATTGCATAGTGTCAGTCCTTGATGGACGGGCAGGTGTGTGGACAACGAACAGTTCCATGGAGCCTGCAGTTTTCTCAGGAGGCATGAAACTTGCAGTATTTAGACCCGAATCATCTACGACGCTTGTTGCACTTAATGATGCTACAAGCCAAAATGAACATCTAGGCTTAGAAGGTTCAGAGGATGCCGAATTACTACAAATAGTCAGCAAGTCACTTGACCAAAGCGAACGTTATACACTGCTCGATTTTCTATCCTACGCACTTGAAAGTGTTCAATTTTTCTAAAAACAGCCAAAGGCCCTTAATCCCGGCGTCTCGAATACGTCACCAGATTCACACCGAGTCGGCGCATCCCATTAGGCAGGAATATTACCGAGTGGCACCACTGGAGCGCAAGATCATCGACGAGCAAGTCCAACAAATGCTGCAGAAGGAAATATTACAGCAATGGGCAAGTCCGTGGGCTACTCCTGTCATTCTAGTGAGGAAGAAGGATGGTACGTGGAGATTTTGCGTTGACTACCAACGACTGAATTCTGTTATCAAGAAAGACGTCTATCCACTGCCGCACATCGATGACGCCCTAGACTGCCTGCATTCCGCGTCCTACTTTTCATTTGTAGATCTGAGATCAGGGTACTGGCAAATTCTGATGCACGCGGCTGACAAAGAAAAGACGGCATTCGTTACGACCGATGGACTTTACGAGTTCAACGTTATGCCATTCGGATTATGTAATGCTCCAGCGACATTCGAAAGATTTATGGACTCTATATTGCGTGATTTAAAATGGCATATATTTATTTATTTATTTATTTATTTCAGGTACCCTCATGGCCCAGAGGGCATTGTTGAGGCGAGTGGTAGAGGATCAGGATGTTAAAAGGTGTTCGAATTGTACAAACATTGAACACATATGAGCAAATAAACAAAATCACTGAACAAACAAGTATCCAGCGGTGCGTAGAAGTATACAAAAGTTTAACACAAATCTACACAGGTATTGCTTGCCGCTAGCATGAAAAGATAACAAAACTAACATTGACAACTGCATGCATATGACACATTATAAGGTAAATAAACGCATTAAAAAAGTTCAAGCTACACAGAAGTGAAGTAATCAGACACTTTTTTCCTAAACTGGTCAATATTGTTAGTAAGCACTAGGGATGGTGGCAGGCGATTCCACTCTGATGTAGTTCTAGGAATAAACGAATTTGAATATGATACAGTGCGACATTTCGAGATACCAACTTTGCAAGAATGATCTATGCACAATGAAACATGAGCAGGGGGTAAGATAAGAGCAGTTTTAAGGGTGGCGTTCAATTTATAGATTTTAAAGAAAAGGCACATGCGCGATATCTTCCTGCGCAGTGTGAATGGTTCAAGAGATAGAGTTGCTTTCATTTGCGTTACGCTTGATAAACGGCCGTAATCGTGAAGGATGAAACGCGATGCTCTGTGTTGGGTTGCTTCAAGTGCATTTATCAGCGAAATATTGCATGGATCCCATACTGAAGACGAGTATTCGAGTTTAGATCGAACAAGTGACTTGTACCATAACAGTTTAACAGAAGCGGGGGCTAGAGAAAAATGTCGCCAAATAAAACCAAGCGTCCGGTTAGCATTTAAGATAATAGAGGAGACATGCATATTCCAACTCAGGTCTGCTGTTAAAATAACGCCGAGGTATTTATAGCACGACACTGGTAGCAATGGGGAGCTGCTTATATTGTAAGAGGAAGGGTTTAATTTACGTTGGCGTGAGAACCGCATTACTTTACATTTATTAATATTAAGTGTCATATGCCAAGTCGAGCACCAATTATCGATAGCGTCAAGGTCCTGTTGAAGCAAAGAAACGTCAGTAGCATTTTTTATTTCGCGGTAAATAACACAGTCATCGGCAAAAAGTTTCACAGAAGAAGTCAGATTGCTAGGCAGATCATTAATATATATAAGAAAAAGCAGTGGACCTAAAACTGAGCCTTGTGGGATGCCTGAAGTGACAGGTAGGGTTGAAGAGTTAAAACCATTAACATGAACAAATTGAGAGTGATCTGTTAGAAAACATTTAATTCACCTAAGAACGTTAAGGTCGATATTCAGTTGGCTTAGTTTGTGAAGAAGCAGGCTGTGGGGAACTTTATCGAATGCCTTACAAAAGTCTATGAATATGCAATCAGCCACGGAACCATTATCAAGTACAGAATGAAGGTCATTTGTGAAGGCTACCAACAGCGTTTCACACGAAAATAATTTTCCAAAGCCATGTTGCTCAGGTGAAAAAAATGAGAATAATTCAAGAAATTTTGCCAAGTGGGAAGCGATGACGTGTTTAAATATTTTACAAGAAATACTCGTTAACAAAATGGGGCGATAGTTCGAAGCAGAATGTTTGTCACAAGATTTATGGAGTGGAATCACTTTACCTATTTTCCAGTCATCTGGAAGCTCCCCTGACTGAAGAGTCTGATTAATTATTTTGGACAATATAATAGCAGAATAAACCGAGGTGTTTTTGAGCCCTTTTGTATTAATGTCATCAGGACCACAACTAGAAGATAATTTTAGACTCTCAATAATGCGTACAATGCCATAAAAATTAAAATGAACAGGGTCCATGGGGAAATCATAATGACTGTGACAGGCAGGGAGTGACGAGTTAGTACAACTGGAAAATGCTTTTGCAAACGTGTCATTCAGAGTGGTGGCGCAATTAGCGTTGCTAATTCGGTTTGACTGCAAATCAATAAGAGAAATTGTCGAATCATCTGTATCCTTAATCAGGCTCCAGAATTTTTTAGGGTTTGCGGAAAGAAGTTCAGGTAATGTAACATTCATATACTTATGTTTTGCTTGCTTTAAAGCTTTCTTATATGTACATACGACATCCTTAAGTGCTGACCAGTGCTCCGATTTTCGAGACCGCTGTGCTCTGATGAAGAAACGCCTTTTTTGTTAGCAAGGCGTTTTATTGCACGGCTGAACCATGGAAACTGACGGTTAGTGGTAATGACCTTTTGGGGAATATGATGTTTAATTAAATTGTGAATTGTACTTTCAAACAGGTGCCAGTTTTCAGTGACCGATTTCTCGTCGAAACCAACAAGAAACTCATCCAGAAAAATCTTCAGCCCATCATTAATGGCCGAAAAGTTAGCCTTTCCGTAATCGTAAATAACCTTAGGGTTATTATGGGACAAACGAGTTGGGACATTCAACATTACGTGTATTACGGAGTGATCGCTACTTTTCGGTAAATAGCTGATGTTGGTGACAAGATCGGGAGCTGTTGTTAACAATGGGTCAAGTGTGTTAGACGTGGAATCAGTTATTCTTGTTGGCTCAGTGATAACCTGAGTCAAAGAAAACGTTGAACAGAGTGCCACAAAATTTGATGATTCGCATGTTTCTTCACTTGAGATAGCGGGTGACTGCCAGTTAACATCGGGAAAATTGAAGTCACCGAAAAGAAATATCTGCTGATTAGAAAACTGTGTGAATGGTGTTAAGAGTGTCGTGAAGATCATTACAAAAGCCTAGTGGCGTAGACTGCGGACGATAACATACACAGAGTAGAAACTTCGTGAAGTTAACAGATATTTGGACGCAAGTGAACTCAAGATTTGTAGTGACATTGGCTTGTGAGCATTCAAAATTGTGGTTAACAGCAACTAAGACACCACCGCCACGCTTTGAGGAGCGATCGCATCGGAAAATATTGTAGCACTTTTGAGCAGAAAAAATTTCACTGTCCCGTACAGATTCGTTCAACCAAGTCTCAGTTAATACAATAATGTCAGCGGCAGTAGTGTCAGCAGCACAAGAAATAAAATCGTGGTTACGGACTACACTTCGTATGTTAGTGAAAAGAACTGAAATGTTACTTGGCGCCCGCGGCACATTATGTGGACGGACGGTGAGCTAGTCTGTGGATGCATGTGGAAAGAGAGTTGAATGCGGAGCTTTAGAGGCGCTGGGGTTTCCGCATTTTTCCTTTACTTCACCGCTTACCTCGCAATACTCGTAACATCTATTGTTTAAAGTGAGTTTGTTATAGCGGTGTTTGAATTTTTCATCCGGCGCTGAGCGTTTCGCAAAGTCTACTAGAATTTTACGGGCATGTCGGGTAGCTGGCGAGAAGTCTTCACTAATTGTGATGTCTGATCCTTTAAGTTTGGTTTTTGCGCTGAGTACTTTTTCTTTTGTTTTGTAATTTGCAAACTTTACTATTATTGGTCGAGCTTTGTCGCGATGCAGTGTGCCAACTCTATGCGCACGCGCGATATCGCTATCGACAAGATTAATCGACATTTGGTCAAGTACAATCTTCTTGACCTTCTTTTCCGAGTCCGCCCATGTTTCCGAGGGGTTATCAGGCACATTAAAAAATAAAAGGTTGTCCCTTCTCGCTCTATCTTCCAGGTCTGACAAACGTACTTTTAACAAAGTATTTTCGTTTTGAAGTGTGCCAATAGATTCTTTTACTGTAGTTATGTCTTCAGCATGCTCTTCCAGAACTTCAACCCTGTTTTCCATGGAGCTTAACCTTTCAGATATGTTTGTGACCGTCGCGTTCAGTTCAGCGTGTTTTGACGTTAAGCTTCCGATGGAATTGAGTATGCGCGCCTGACCATCCTCGATCAGCTTTTAACGGGCTGTGAGGTCCCTCAGCTTTGTTATAACAACATCGGTCGTAGGCTCCGGTGGTACTTCGCACACCTGCGTGCCACCCTGTCGAGGTTTAGTAGGCCCCGGGTTAAGCTCCACATCCCCCGACAGTAACAGTTTCAACACATCAAAGCACTCATTTACATGTTGTAAGAGCACTTGTGGGCATGGGAATACAACAAGAAAAGCGTTATTGGAGCGCTTAGAAGGAGCTTCACTAACCTGTTACAGGCAGAGACGAAAAATATTTGTGAGCCGCATCGTAGCGTTGCTCCCATGCCCACTAAAGTGGCACGGCTGGCCCGATGCGCTTATATCAGGCGGCGTCGCTGACGTAATCGAAGATGTCCAGGTTGATCCAGGGGGAGCCACAGGGACTTGCGTCAGGGTGGTCTCCCACGGCATGTCGGAGCGTGCGTCATGTAGCGCTGGTTCGGAGACGACCGGCGTTGAACGATAAGCGTCACCGGGAATCCACTCAGGCAAACCGACCGCGCATGCGTCGACAACGAACGGCAGCTGTAACAGGCAGAGACAAAAAATATTCGTGAGCCGCATCGTAGCATTGCTCCCATGCCCACTCAACACAGTGCCATTTTTTGGGCGTGTTGGTAAAGGGAGCTTGACGGCATATTGAGCGCTAAGAGACAGGGACAGGAGAGAGTGGACACCACAATGCGCTAACTTCAACAATTTTTATTTTCAGGAAACGCGAACCTATAAATCCGTGTACAGTGGCGCCACCAGTCTAACCACTAGCCCAGCAGAAAAGCCCTTTCTCGATCTAACAAGTCAACTGACGGTGCACTTACACATGCGTCACCTTTGCGAAAGATAGCATGGGCTTCAATTATCTCTCGCACGTCTTTATCTTTATGCTTCGCCAGAACACTGCAGGATGCGTACAAGGGTGTGCAACCACATCCCACGCAATGTACTGACAAATGGCCATAATTATTCTTGTTTTTAACATTGAGCTTATGTTCACGAAGACGGTCATTAAGGCATCTACCCGTCTGACCTATACATATACCACCACAAGTCAGAGGAAGCCCATAAACTACCCCTTCAACACACGCCACAAAATGATCGCGATGCTTCTTGGAGCAACCGACAGCAGGCTTGCGGTGCGGGTCCGTCAAGCGACTTATCCTGCCAAGCTTTTGTGGTGCTGAGAATACTACTTTAATGCCCACTCGACTAGCTACTTTCTTCAGGTTATGAGCAGTTTTGTGCAGGTACGGCACTACTGCAACTCTGCTCCTACTCACTGCCGGTTGGATGTCTGCTTCCCGAGGGCGACTGTCCAACCGGCATTTTTTAAGCAAACCCTAGGGGAAGGTGACTATGACGAGAGAGCCTGTTCTGCAGTTGCCAAAGTTTTTAATGAGTGCAATAATGTGTCTCTTAGGAAGGTAAAACTTGAAACAAAACGTCTCTGTAAAAATTTGGGCCTGAGTAGATTGTTTCACAATATTGACGCAGCCAAGAAAGATAGCCTTGATATTATGTTTAGCGCGAAAACGCACAAGCCTGAATGGCCATTGAGGGTAATAGTTTCGGAAATAGGGTCATGGCAGAAGAACCTAGCCCTTTTCTTGCAAGAAAGGCTCGGTATTCTTAAAATTGACGACCCCTTTTTGATTAGGCATTCCGGGGAAATATTAGATTTCCTGAAGAGTAACCCAGACAAAGGTTTTTTCGCCTGCTCCTTTGACATAAAAGATTTATATTATTCTTTGCCTCAAAATGAACTAATCGAGCGCGTGGAAGAATGTATTGACAGCTTTGGTGTGGTTGCGTTTCAAAACTCAGCCGAGATTTCGGTTCAATGCTTTTTAGACTTGCTTCGCTTATATCTCCGCTCGACATTTGCCACGTGGAATGGAAAAACTTTCCTTCAGAAGCAGGGCATCTGTATCGGCTCCTGTTTGGCGCCGGTACTGAGTGACATTTTTCTGGCCCACCATGATAGAAATCTGGCACATGTCTTGTCACAGCACAGGGTGGCAAAAGTTGTGAGATACGTGGACGATTACCTTGTCTTGTTCGAGCGTGAAGAAAACGTAGCAGTAAGTCAACTCGAAGCTGTTTTTTCTGCTTGCCTTAGCCCACTCGTTATTACAGTAGAAGAGCCAACCGATAGCGTGCTGCGGTTTTTAGACATTGAATTGGAATTCAAGCAGCAGCACACGTGTTGGGAATACAAGCCCAGAGCTAATAAGCCCCTGTTGCCATACCAATCTGCTCACTCGAAGCTAGTAAAAAGAAGCATTGCCAATCTGTGTTTTGGGAACGCATTGCGGAAATCTTGCCATCATAAAATTCAGAAAAGTGTCATGAGTCAGTCGGAGAGGTTATCCGCAGCAGGTTTCCCAGAGTCGATACAGGTGTCTGTTGTCGAGGGTTTGCTTAAAAAATGCCGGTTGGACAGTCGCCCTCGGGAAGCAGACATCCAACCGGCAGTGAGTAGGAGCAGAGTTGCAGTAGTGCCGTACCTGCACAAAACTGCTCATAACCTGAAGAAAGTAGCTAGTCGAGTGGGCATTAAAGTAGTATTCTCAGCACCACAAAAGCTTGGCAGGATAAGTCGCTTGACGGACCCGCACCGCAAGCCTGCTGTCGGTTGCTCCAAGAAGCATCGCGATCATTTTGTGGCGTGTGTTGAAGGGGTAGTTTATGGGCTTCCTCTGACTTGTGGTGGTATATGTATAGGTCAGACGGGTAGATGCCTTAATGACCGTCTTCGTGAACATAAGCTCAATGTTAAAAACAAGAATAATTATGGCCATTTGTCAGTACATTGCGTGGAATGTGGTTGCACACCCTTGTACGCATCCTGCAGTGTTCTGGCGAAGCATAAAGATAAAGACGTGCGAGAGATAATTGAAGCCCATGCTATCTTTCGCAAAGGTGACGCATGTGTAAGTGCACCGTCAGTTGACTTGTTAGATCGAGAAAGGGCTTTTCTGCTGGGCTAGTGGTTAGACTGGTGGCGCCACTGTACACGGATTTATAGGTTCGCGTTTCCTGAAAATAAAAATTGTTGAAGTTAGCGCATTGTGGTGTCCACTCTCTCCTGTCCCTGTCTCTTAGCGCTCAATATGTCGTCAAGACCACTCAACACATATGCATGTGTTGCCTTGACGATGTCGTAATTTTTGGACGTACGTTTGAGGAGCACAACACCCGCCTAGACCTCGTGCTCAGCTGCATTAAAAAAGCTGGCCTTGTATTGAATTCAAAAAAGTGCCACTTTGACGAGCGACAGACATTGGTGTTGGGACATCTTTTCGACAAAGATGGCATTAGACCTGACCCACAAAGAACCGTGGGGGCCGTTGAATTGTTCGAGCGTCCTAAATCTGTGAAACAACTGCGTAGCTTCATCGGGCTGTGCTCGTATTTCCGCCGGTTCATCCCCAGGTTTGCGGATGTCGTTCACCCCCTGACGAGCCTTGTACGCAAGAACAGCCCATTTCAGTGGACCTCCGAGTGTGATGCCGCTTTTCACCAGCTGTAGTGTTTGTTAACTTCGCAGCCAATACTTCGGCACTTCAATCTTTTGCCGCCCATTCTTCGTTCAGCTAGCCTGAACGCAACTACACAGTGACCGAACAGGAATGCCTAGTGGTAGTATTTGCCGTACAACGGTTTCGCTCATACATCTATGGTCGCCCATTTACTATCGTCGCAGATCACCATTCCCTGTGTTGGCTGGTCAACCTTCGTGGCCAACCCGGCCGCCTCGCATGATGTGCCATTCGTTTGCAAGAATATGTCTTCACTATTTCATACAAGACTTGCCGTCTACACGCTGATGCGGATTGCCCCTCCAGGATGCCGCTACCGATGACAGATTGTGCAGCCGATAATTTTGACCACGTTATCGCTTCTCTGTCGTCTGGCTTTCCCGAAGCCATGACTTTCGCCACCTAGCAGTGAAATGACCCACACTTGAAAGCTATCTTCCCTGGAGCAAGAACGTCAGTAAGCGAAGCCCTATTCTGCGTCCGAAATGGTCTTCTTTACCAGAGAAACTTGTCCCCGATGGGCACCCGCTTTCTGCTGGTTGTTCCTGCGTCCCTCCAAACGTCTTTTCTACGTCTTACACATGATGACCCCACTTTTGGCCATCTAGGAACCGCATGAACACTTAGTCGCACGAAAGAGCGGTTCTATTGGCCGAAAATGAGCAAGAAAATTTAAAACTACGTGGCCAGCTGCACGCAGTGTCAGAGCCACAACCGGCCCACCTCAGGTCCAGTTGGTCACCTGCAACCCGTAAAGCCTCTCGGTTCCCCTTTTGAAAAGGTTGGCATTGATCTGATGGGACCATTTCGACGCTCTTCAAAAGATAACCGGTGAATAATTGCATGCGCCAACTACCTGACGCGGTACTGCGAGACGGCTGCCTTATGCTCCACCACGGCAGTCGCGGTTTCGGAGTTCCTGTTGCATTCAGTCATCCACCGACACGGACCACCTCGCGTGATATTATGTGACCGTGAGCGACAGTTTACCGCTGGTATTGTGGAATCATTAATTCGTTTGTGTGCCTCTAAGTTCCGACACTCAACCGCGTATCATCCGCAAAGTAACGGCCTCACCGAGTGCACAAACCAAACGTTCATCAACATGTTCTCTATGTACGTCACCTCCGACCACAAAAACGGGGAGGAAGTATTACCATTCGTAACGTACGCCTCCAACACTGCGAAACACGAAACGACAAGCTACAGCCCTTTCTATCTGCTACACGCTCGCTCACCTCGACATACGCTGGACACTGTCTTTCTTTTTGCTGTCAATGACAATTTAACGCTTGTGGAAACTTTGTGTCGTGCGGAAAAGACACGTCGAATGACCTGCTTACGTACACTGGCAGCACAAGAGTCCTCCAAAACTCGCTACCACAGTCAACACCAGCATGTAACCTATGCCCCCGGTGATGTAGTGTGGGTGTGGACCCCAATACGCAGACGTGGCTTGAGCCAAAAGCTACTGGCAAACTACGCTGGTCCGTTCGTGAATCATCATCGTCTCAGCGAGATCAACTATGAAATTGCACGTGTCACCACTAGTGGCCGACGTTCATGCAAGACAGAGGTGACGCATGTTGCCCGCCTGAAGCCGTTTGCACGAAGGATACAAGAATGACTCGCCCAGAGGGCTTCGTCTGAGACAGGAGGAATGATAAGAAGTGTTACTTCCAGGAAAAA